GGCGGGGTAGGGAGTGCTTAATGTTGTCACCAACTTATGGTGGCCAATGGCCAAGAGAAATCTAAAGCTTTAAGTGCCACCTCAGAGCTGTTTGGTTAAAGCGCTGGTGTTCAGCTCAGCACTAATGGGTGTTCCTTTATACCACCCCTGCCACCAATCAACTGTGAGATTCCTCACTTAAACACAACAAAGAAGAGGGATCAACCAAAGTCTTGTCTTCCTGAAGATACCATCTTTCATCTAAATTCACATTTCAGGGCCTAATTCTGATCCCCGTTAAAATCTGCACTTCCAGTGATAAATAATCACGCAGGTCCTAGACCTAAATCCTAAATTTAACATTGTGCACACAGACATGTTCCAGTTAAAGACGTATGTATTTCAGTTTAACTTCCACTACTGGTGAAGGCAACTGAGGTAGGCCAAAAGCACAGATAAATTGAACTAGTAGCCCTGAGAGCCTAAATACAGGGGACTATGAAGACAAACCTTCCCATGTATTTGAATCCTAAAATGTACCCTGTACAATGTAGGAAGCAGTCTTCTCAAATTAACCTTAAAACTCATTAGCAAGGCTGAGCAAGGAAAGCAGAGAACTGAAGAAAATGCTTAATTTTTCAGCCTTGCTATATTTACATTTTTCAGAATTTAAATTAAATTCGTCTAAAGAATTCCCCCCCACCCCAAAGGGGACAATGAGAACAATGGCACATTCCTATGCAGAGCCCAGAAACACTTCTCACAGGCTTCAAGACTCAAATTTCACATGGCGGCAGCAGGTCCAGGTCTTAACTACCTGGGGAAAGTACAGACAAACAACGAAAAGCTATTTGAGTTACTGAGCCTCAGCAAAGCTCCTCCCCTTCCTCTGAAACACGGTGATTGACCTCATCAGTCCTAACCCACTGCAATTAATCCCAAGTAAAATTATTTCCATTAAACCACCTTCATGGCTCAAGTTATGTTGCTTGCTTTGGCATAGCAGAACCATGCACACGTAATCCAGTTACTTCTTCATCTCAGCAGCAACTCTTAGCTCAGAGGTAGGAAAGTCACATGGCCTGGTAACTCCATGGCTTGTGACTGCCAATCCATACTTTAACTGCATTCAGTATTGCATTGCTATAGTCATGAGACGCAGCTAACTTGTGCTGCCAAGCACCTTTTTTCTGCATCATGCAGAAGTATTTCAAGAAACTTAGTTCAATGAAGTCTATTTCTCTTTCATGTTTTACTAGAGACTGTCCCCTGCAGAGACGGAGCATCCTGCTGCTTTTCCATCTCCTGAAGAGCACACCCCAGCAGCTTTTCCTCTCCAGGTCCCCACTGCATAAGAGAACAAATCAAATTACTCTTACAAAAAAATTCAGTCTTCAAACTGTTAAATCTCACCCAAATGTGTATTTTGCTTGTCACTCCTTTTATTCTATTTTCATAGGAAGAAAGCAATGATCAACAAATTACTGCACAAAAGCACGTGAGCACTGGCAGGCAGTTTCAAAGCTATTGACAAAAAACAGTCTATTCACTGCAAGAGTCCTACATTCACAATCTCTCTGATCAGGATGCAGGGGACTAATTCAATAGTTCCCAATGGAAAATACCTAGTGGGCATGTTTGATTTCTGGAGACAATGCTATACCATGGGGAGCTTTTCTCTACCTCCATCTCTCTACTTCCAACTCCTTTTTTCTGGCTGGGCTTTGGTTTGTGTTTCTTTTTTTTAAGATTTGAACAATTTGCTCTGAAATACCATAGTAATGCTTAACTCCTACAAAATATACTTCTAAAAAAAAAGATAAAAGAAAGAAAAATGTTAGGGGGAGGAGGAGGGAGAGAGAACCTTTTCAGTAAGGCTGGGACCTTACTAAGTACTACTTTATTAGGGCAGGCAGCTGTCCACAGACAAGTCCACATTATGTGGACAATGTATATTAGTGAATGTCAAAAATACCTTGTATTGTAATTTGTTAATTAATTTAAAGAGAATCAGATCTAATACAGGACTCAAGTATTTCCAAACTCTTCCTAGAGTAAGACCATGCAATAATGCTGCTGAGTTCACAGCAATTCATGTGCTACCTGAAGCCTGAGTCCCTGCCACTAGCAAGTTAATTTGCTCCCTGCTCTTCAAACTGTGAGAAGGCTTTTCATACATGAGCCACAAGGCACATAAAAAGAGCATGTGAAAACTCATAACAAGGTTCACATTTTCCAGTGTTTCCACCTCACATTAGCACTGAAGGTAAGTACTGTTTCAGTACCATTCATAGACTGTCAACAAAGCAAAATTCCATGTTTTACTCAAAGCTATTCCAGTCATGTGTTAGAATCTCATCAAAACAGCACCCTCATTGTCCTCTTCAACAACATTGTTTGTTAGGAATGGAAAAACATCTAGTGCAGCTTATTTATCAATATTTCTCTTTGGCTTCCAAAGTCCTGTGACTATTTTCTTTTGCAGCTGAACTTAATTGAGGAAGTAGCCTGAGATATTTTGCAGGTTTCACTTGAAATCTCTCACACAATACTGGCCGCTACGTATTTAATCCAGGAATTTTAAAGTTGAAAACTTGTAAAGACATTTCACTATGCTGTCAGCATCTGCTGTCCCTGTGACCAGTAAGCAAATGATGATAGATCTTTTCACGCATAATTCAGACATAACACTAAGTTTTAGGCCAATTCTGCAAGAGAGGGCAAGCTGACAACAACTTGGTGTTTATCACTTCTTAGGCCACAGGGGCTTTAACCTGGAATTGCATGAATCAGATAGCTTTTCAGTTCAGCACACACTTCACTTAGATTTCTTTCCTTTCAAACGCCCCTGCACCACAAGTCCAGGGAATCAATCCAGAATTACTCTTCTATGGAATAGCACAATTCAGTCTTATGGTACAAACCCAAAAATTACCAGAATGAAGAGTTTTCCTTCCATTATTTCCAGATACTACCTAAACCCACAAGAAGCAGAGCTCAGCCCTTCGCACTGTAAAAGCTACACAGTTGAGCCTCAGAATTTTAGGTCCAAGAATACAGCAGTTAAAATTTTTATTAACATCTAAGACTGCCATAAAGAGAAGACAAAGCATAAGGTAGGACCAGGAAGAATGCTGAAATTAGCCCCACCATTTTATGCTCTGATCAACAGAAGATGGCCTGCTACTATGAGTACTGCAACTGAAATAAAGAATGCCCTTCTGAAATTAAAAAAGGGTATCAGGAATACCTGATTAGAAACATAGAAGAGATGGACAGAATGGATGAAACAGTAGCAGGCACAATGCTAGGGATTCCCTGAGTTATATTCTGAGATTTTGCTTGTGTTCTAAAATATATATTATTTAAAATTACAGTCATAGCAGCTATCAAAAATTTAATTGATGTTTACAATGAACTGTGACACAGAAGAAAAAACACGGCACATGGCAAAATTATAGTGTCTATCAGCAGAGATACTAGCATTAGGTGTAATATGGAATAAGCTACCTGTCAACTTGAACTTTATCTTACCCTCAGTTTTAAAACCTGTGTTGACAGCAAAAGTGGAGAAATCCAACACATAGCACCACTACTGATCACTGGATCTGTGGGAGCACAAGACTAGGGGCCTTTAGGATTGCTGTCTCTTTGATCTTCAAAAAGTTACACCATTTTCTGAAAACTGGTTTCACATGATATCTTTTCACATAGGTTAAACTAGACCTGTGACTTTGTTACACTGGAAAAAAAAGTAATTTTCTTCACAGAATTATTTTCAGATTGATTTTTACACCTACTTCGCCGAGAAATCGAAAGTTCAGAGCTCTCACAATCCCTTTGTCTTTGCTCTCCAAACATGCATGTACGTACATGCTATTAGAGGTCTTTTTGCACTTCTGCAGCTTTTGTTTCAACAACAGTCTGGATGGAGAAAAAAACAAAGCCCTCTCCTCTTTCCCTCCTCCTCTTCCCCCTTCCCCCCCAAATGATCTGCTTTTAATCATAACTAACATTTTAAACAGACATTAGAAAGGAAAGGCTACCCCTTTATAATTACAAACTTGATAATTACCTGGTGACTTGTAACAGACCCATTTTCAATGCATCTTCCTCCCTCTGTCCCTTGATAATGTAATCTAATCTCTTGGCTATGCTTTCATCTGGCATCCAACGCTGCACATTGTTTATCAAACAACAATCTTTTCTTAGTCAATGACAGAACAAAGGCAAGGAAGAGCAACTGTGGTAATACTACAGCACTTACCACTTCAAAAGTAACTGCATCGGTATAATTTACATTGCTTGTGTGCTTTTTGTTTACCTCTTTTAAATCTAGTTTTATCTCCTCTGTGCAAGACTGCAACCTACCTTCACCCATTTACTGGACTCTCTATATTTACACATTACAGAAGCCATTGTGCACAATGTCAACAGTGGAAGTCAAAAGTGGAAACGTGGTTTCCAAATGCAGAAAGCTGAGATATTCCATGAGTGTTTTCATATTTGAAAGCACAGCCATTTTCCATGACAGGAAAATCATGTGCTTTACATTACTGGACTATCACTAAGTCTTAGCAATAATGTGTAATGACTATTTTTTTAAAACATGTTTTACTCTCTCAATTTCACACTTAGAAATTCTGATAAGACTCTCAACACGAGTTCAATTTCTCAAATTTCTTATACCTAAAAATGGAAGGGAGGTCAGGCTGCTGAAGTTCCATCTTTGGATTTTTGGGTCCAATGATCCTCTTTCCTAAAGATGCCTGCACTCCATATTCCTTATGTGTCTTACCCTTCCCTTTCCTCACATCCACAGCTTAGAACAAGAGGATCCCTGAAACATCCCACCCGTGGTATGTTCAATTCTGATATAACAAAGATCCGGGGCCCTAACCCCCTGATATTTTGACAGTTTACAACTACGAGGACTATAAATAGTAGCATAGTAGTCAAAATAAATCTGCATAAGTAATCAGCAGCTTAGTATAAAATCAGACAGAAACAACTAGGCTCACCTGTATAAAGGGTATCTGCAGATCCAAAATAGCACTAATCACTGAATCCCAAGCTTCATCACTCTTATCAAGTGTCTTTCAACACAAAAAAAAAAAAAAAGGTAACACAATTAAAAATAAATCTGGGTGAAGAAAGAGATAGATGAGTACGAGGTATACAAATATATAGTACCACACTAATCTGAGCTTTAAGATCTTTGTACGGGAAGAATCTGAATACAAGTACTACTAGAAAAGAAAGCCCTCAAGCCCTCAAGTACCACTCTGAGTCACATCAGCATAAGCCCTTCACAGCGCTGGCTGTGCACGTATTGATGACTGATTATCAAAGCATAATAGCTTTATGGTACCTGACACTGACCCAAACTAATACTGCTACTAAGATAATAACACACCTCCCCCACTCACTTTTCATATGATTTGAACAGATTCAGGGAGAAATTCCATCTTCCTTAACCATAAGTTGAAGCACGCAGCTCTGACAATGCTCTCTGCAGAAACACCATAACCTCCTACTTAGAGGAATGAACCAATGAAGGACTGAGATCAGTAAATCAAAGAACAGAAAAATGCGGTTTTGTGGGGGTGAGCACGCTGCCAAGTTGCAATGCTGTTTCAGTCTCTGATGGAAAACACTGTCCCAGGACAGGCAAATCAGGTCAACTCCGGAACTAAAGGTAGGCAAAAAGTCACGACAGCACTGCAAGTCAAGTGTGAGATTGGTATATTCTTCCATAATTCATTAGGTAAGAGATCCATTCACCGAAGCACCAACTTATTAACTAAAACTAAGATAACTGACATTATTAAAAAAAAAAAAAAGTAAAATAAAAAATAAACATTTTCTTGAGAAATCTTTGCTCACTTAGTAAAGTCAAAAGAAAACAGAAGACTTGGTAAAAAGTAATAATTATCCTTCATCACAATATGATTTCAGAGGTGTTTGTAATAACGGTCTTTGCAGACATTCATAGTTACAAGGAAACTCACGAGGACAAGCCAAAGAGAGTTAGGTCAAAGCTTTGCTGACAAAACAGAAAACTGTTCTGGTTCTCCAGAAAGAGGAAAGGCCTCAGGACCTAGTTATCCAACTAAGCTAATACTTAAAATAAATAACTAACTCACAGAATATATCTTTCATTGATAGTAGTTTTTGCAGAAACCCAAAGCACTTCAGATAGGAATGCATAATAAAACATTTTTCTAAAAGCCACTCCTGTGACAGAACAGCAGTTATGAAGCTCTATCTTGAGCACAGAAAGAGGGAGCTAGAAGAGTACCATCTAATTTCTTTAATGCCAGCACTTAACCCCAGAGGTTTTCCTGACTCAAAGACATTACGCCTCTGGCGATCTTGTGAGAAGTAGGGCACTTGGTTTCCTCTCCATTGCTCCCCCCATGCACAAATGAAGTTGTTATGACACAGAACAGGTGTGGAGCTTTGACTCAACAGCCATACACCTATCACTTATGGGACCACTTATACTGTCTTCTGCCACAAGGTTAGGCTGGAGGTGAAAGTAACAGTGCCACATCCTATCAATCTGGCAGCGTGCACACAGAACCTGTCTCTCTGCATTTGTTAAGTGAACAGACCCTACAGGAGCTGTCCTTCCTCCTACTTTGGTATTTTCTGCCTTAAGGGGGTGGGGAAAAAAAAAAACAAACATAAAAGAGAAAAAAAAAAAAGGAAAAAAGAGAGGGGAAAAAAAAGAAAAAGGAAAAAGAAAAAGGGAAAAGAAAAAAGTACACTCTGACAAGCTTTAAAATACACAGAACAGATCTTAACCAAACGAAGTTTCATCAGCACACCAACCATTTAATTTCCTCCCAATGACTTGCCTATAAACAGTGAATAATTAGATGGTATTTATTTTTAAGCAGTTACACTACCCAATCACAATGGCAATAACAGTGCTGTAATTGGGCCTTAACAACTTTTGCACCTGAACCATTCAGTAAAATCCTCTCACAGCAATTCCATTTAGTTACCCCTCACTTATTTTAATGGGTCATGAGAAGATAACTTGTTTTGAATTATCCTGGGTAATTCAGGTACCAGTCATACAGTTCAATTAACTCAACTCCCAGACTAAACATAGACCCATTTCTCCACACCAGTGTAAAGCAACACGCCTGTTGTTGCGATCGTACTGGTATCTCATACCTGGTTTGGCTCGGGTCCAGTTTTTCTCTGTGCCACACAATGTCAGGTCAGACAAACAGACTGATTGTCCTGCTTTCAAGTCATCTGGTTCTCCAGCTCACATGTGCTCCTCACACAAGTGCAGGTAACAAAACAGTTTATACAAGAAGCACTGCCAAACCACCCATCTCCCTAAAATGCCCCACTTATTTAATAAGTATCTACCCATTGTTCAATGCACTCTGGTTGCTACCAAAAAAAAACCTAAATTTTGGAGCAGTTGCAAGTGTTAAAATACTTCTGCACTTGTTTTTGCATCTAAATGCCTGGCATTTCAGCAGCCGCATCTTTAGCTGGGTCCTGGGCAAAGCTGATGAGGGCGGGGAAGGCAGTATGCACCCTGCAAGGGCTCTGCAGCTGCAGAGTCAAAAGGGAGGGAGGAGAGGGACCTGGGGCACATCTTCAGCTCCCTTCCATAATTCTATAATTAAAAAAATCTCTCAGTGATGAAACAACTTCCACAAGTGCCACCAATTCAGCAAATGACAGCTACTGCCCACAACTGATACCACGCAAACAATTCTTGGCAAGCACACAGGTTAACAAACCTGCAATAGTTACTGGATAGCTGCTGTAAAAATGACAAACCATAGGTGAATCACAGCTTTATCAGACACCCGTTACCTCAGTCTATAGGAAAATTGCCATAATTAACCTTCATGTTGCTGTTTCCCACCCTTCTTACCTTTTGTGATAAAAGCTTAGCATAGTTACTACTTCTACTTTACTTTTTACTTTAGTGTAAGAGTCATGCTATGATTTTACAAAGAGAACATTTATCAAAGTGTGTTTTAAAAAAATTAAAATGGGGGTTATTGTCTCAGTTTTCTAAGAAAGTACTGTAACAGCTGAATAAGGAAAGGTTATTTTAACCTCCAAAGGCTATTGTTCCTTTTCTAATCCCCAAAATTGTCTGGAGCCAGACAACACACGGCTGCTATGCCCTGAGCTAGAATGAAAGGGGGGGATGGTAGAAGTGGGGTGTCTGTTTACAATTACTCCATTCCTGGTTTTAATGAATCTTTCTGAATGACCGCTAAGTGCTGGTTTTGTTCTTTGGAACAAGGGGCCTATTACTGGAAGACTAAAAAAAGGAAGGAAAAGGGAAAGCAAACACAAAGCTGCCAAACTCAAAAGTGTTTCAAACATCTCAGCTGTATGTCCCAGAGGTAATCAGCTCCACAGACACAAGACTGTCCCTACACATTTGCAGTCTCTTTTCTCCCTCTTCCTTGACAGGCTGAAATAAAACAGCTGAGATAAGGGGGAACAATAGAACATCAGAACTAGAGTAAAAATTCACAGATACCCACTAAAATATGAAGAATTACATTATTAAAATTTGGAGAATTATAACTTAATCACTATCTACATTTGGTTACTTCTGCCACCTGCAAGCAAGCCTTCCAGAATCACGTAAGCAACCAACTTCAAGAGGAAGAAGGGATGGATCATATCTGTCTTGCACCATCCTCTGCCTTCCCAGAACTCCCTTATAGTCGCCCTCAAAATCTCGTCTGCCATTCCCAACAGCTATGGCTAAGAGACAAAATACAGCAAAACCCCTGTCCTGCCTCCCTGCTGCATATACACACTTCCCCTCCTCCTTGCAGGGGGCAGAAATTGTAGTTAAATACTGGCCAGAGATTTAAACTTAAGGACCAAAAATCTGCAAACCACCACAGGCAACCTTCAGAGTCTTCACTGAGGATCCTGAGCATTTCACTGAGGAAATCTGGCTTTCTGGATATTTCTCTAGGCTGGGAAGGTTGCAAAGCATCAGACCTTCTTAGTCCAGCAATCTGATAAACAGAAAAGGTATTTTAAATTCAGTTCTTATATTCAGTATCTTAATTAAATATTGTCCTTTCTTACAGGCACAGGGAGGAGTATATCTCATGATTAACAAAAAAATATCAAAACACATGATACATTTTCCTTCAATAAAATTGTTTTGAAAAAATTATATGGTACAGACATATAAAAGTGGCACTACATGGTTTGTTTTGCGTAGCGTGGCTTAAAAGTTCTACTGACACACATTTAGATAAACCTCTTTACAGCCAAAGAGTTTGAATAATATAGCCATGTCAAATTTATGATGGCAAAACCATCATGTACCTCAGCAAATGTCATCAATCTACTTTACTGAAAATGATGCTTAGGAGAAAATACTTTTTCTCTATGTCTTAGAAAAAAAAAAAAGCTGTATGTGTCCAACACACATATAGCCATTATTATACAAAACAGTACCTGTCTATTTTACCACATGTATCTTTGACAGAGATGTTGCCATCAGCACAGAAACATTACCTGCGTACTTCCCATCTTTCAAGCTGAGCATGTACGTACAGACTTGGAACCACTACGACTCATTTGATTACAAGAAGTCGCATTATCTTTATGCTTTCTATGTGGCAACCATATTTTGCCTTTCAGCTTCCCTGCCATGGTGGCTAGAATGCACATTTTCCTTGAAAGGCAACTTACAACTCAAATTAAGATAGGTAGGTTACCCCACATTTACCACAGCAAATAAAGAAGTATGTGCCATGCAAAGGAAGAGTTACCCCAAGAGATGACTACCTTTGATGCTGGTTGTGAATAAAAACCTTCAAGTGTCCACTTGGTGAGGATCCTCAAAGCTCCAGGAAGCAAAGGGTGACTAACATCAACACTTATAAGGACTTGAATTCATTTTAAAACATACACGTTTTATATGTATATAATATTTCTTCTTAAAGCCTGGATAGTTTTACTAAGAAATTCCATTGTGTAATCCGGTTAAACTGCTCATCTCAGTGACACTGTTTGACGGCGACTGTTATGAGCTATTTCTTTCTTCTTTGATACTTTTAAAAAAATCAGT